TGCAAACATACACGCACACTAGAAGCTATGAAGACAGTTATAACCTCACCTACCGTAACGTGAGCCTAACATTATTCAATCTTTGTCTCCCCATTTCTTTCCTTCTTCCTCCTCCTCCATCTTTGCCTTTGAATTGCTCATTATAGCTCAGGTCACATCCAAGTATTATAAGCAGAAACATTTTAATGTGTAGGTAAATATTTTTGTCTATAAAAAGGACTCATTCAAGAAATGAGGGACAAAAATAATCTGTCCTGTATGTAGGATGCTCTTCAGTTCTGAGCATTTAGAAAGAACATTTTCTTTATGTATTCCAGCCCACCTTGAAGAAATACATATTTCTCTGTAGTTTGTTTAAAATTGATGTGACAGCATAGAACATAATGGTAGCAATATTGTGACATAAAAAGGTAGCTGGAAGCAAAAGTGAAGGTAGGAAATAGAACGTCCAATTGAGCCACTATTCGTTGAGAGGTTGATTGGTCTCTATCCCTTTAACTTTCAGTCAAGTTCACCTCTTACTGCCACTCACTTTTTCCCCATCTCATCATTGCACCTCCGTCTTTTTACCTGTTTCAACCAAACCTTACCACAGATTATCCATAACAAGATGCTTTCACCAGAGAAAAGAGAGGAAGAGGACAGAGTAGGATAGTGGGGTGATGTTAGGAGGTGTAACTAAAAGATGAAAAAAAACTATATTTTATATATATATATATATATATATATATATATGAACAAAATCCAGGCTGGATTAAAAACAGACTTGCAACTTGGCATGCACAGAGAGAAAGCAAGATGATTGGAAATGTTAGAGTGAAAGTAAGAGAGTGATGAGAGACAAAGAAGGGCAAGTTTGATTGGTTCCACCTGGTTGGGAGTGGCAAGAGAAACTATGTACGACCGTGTGTGCACATGGCTGCACCTAAAGGTCATAGCTAGGTCTGTTATGCAGCAGCCACTCATAAGGACAGGCCTGAGAACTGAACAGTGCATGCACGTGTGTGTGTGTGTGTGTGTGCGCGCGCATCACTCAGAGGTGAGTCGCTGGTGCCTGCTGGTTCAAACAGCCCCATAGCTTTACCACTCAATACCTTTCACTCAACCAACCCGATGATTTCTGCCTTTAGAGCAGCTGTGCCTTACTGTGATCTGAACAGTAGGTTTTCCAAACACAGATAGACATATCATAATTACAACTTCTTCAAAAAAACAACAAAAAAACTGAATATGAGACCATATCTCATCAATCACAGTTTTTGCTCCTTGGGATGCCTCAGGGGAGAATCTATTAGCAACTGTAATCACAGGGCTAAAGACTGCAGCAGCCTAAATTACAAGCACACACAGCAGAATAACTCCCCATGATCTCCTCACAACAGCACGAGCTGACAGTATCCCAGTGGCAACTTTGCATTCTTTTTGACACTCTAAAACACTTGTCTGAAATAAACAGGCAAATCCTAAAAACTGGGGGGGGGGGACAGAGCAAGCTGCAAGTTGTGTCACATCTCAAGAGTGTGCTTCATATGCTTGTCGGCCCCTCTCCAAGGACTCCCAGAGGACTGTGTGCAAGTCTTAGTGGAGCCAGATGGTCCCCATCTTAGGTATTCAGCAGAGGCAGTGGAGCAACAGCCAAGGAGGTGTCACAGTCGATGCTAAACGCACCCTACCATTGCCACCAACACACGCACCCATGCGTGTACACACAAACACGGAGACAACAGAAGAGAAGGTGGGGTTGTGTCATTGCCACACTACAGTATAAAAAAGAATATGGAGATGGGGTTTAAGTTTAGTCTGAATGTCATGTATTTTGTCTGTTATTACCTACAACTATTTGCATGTTTCAGAATGGCTATATCTTGCTATGTGTACATGTTTTTGTAGTACAGTGTGTAACGGGAGTGATTGTGTGCTTCCACATTGCTGGTATGTGTGTTTATCTTTTATGTATGACCAGTGCAGACAAGCATTGAAGTGTGTGTGTGTGTGTGTGTGTGTGTGTGTGTGAGTGAGTGAGTGAGTGAGTGAGTGAGTGAGTGAGTGAGTGAGTGAGTGAGTGAGTGTGTGTGTGTGTGTGTGTGTGTGGTGTGTGTGTGTGTGTGTGTGTGTGTGAACAATGTGCTGCTGTTAATTTCCATTAAAACTCCAAACAGAGCCCACCTGCTGTCATGGTAGATGAGTTCACGATAGAACAGAAAAGGCTGGTGTACACTTCTGTGTGCATATGCTGAACAGTGACTATGTACTGTATATACTGATATGGGTTTCCATGTGCCTGCCTATGTGGACTGCTGCCACTTTGAGTGAAGAATGTTTCTTGTTATTGCTAAAACTATAAGTATTCACAATCATTTATGTGTTCAGTGAGTTTCAGGACCCTCTGTTAGCAAGTGTGCATCCACACAAGTATTACATGTAATGTATGTATAATGTATAAGCCATGCATTGTTTAAATGCATGTTATTCTATTTGTTTGTGGGAGCATGTGTTCGCGCAGCTGTATTTTCTTGCAAATGTGTGCTACGGCTTTCCGGCCAAGTCACCCATCATGGTGACCCATTTTCTGCCTCTCCAGATCCCAGACCACAACCTCTCTGTTTACTGTGGATGTGTCCCTTGTGCCTTGTCCCATATCCCATAATCCTTTGCCCCTGTTCCAAGAACCCATGTTCGCCCATTGTCCTCCTCACCTGTTCTACATTGCCAATCATCCGCAACACCCCCCGTTGTCTCCCTTCATCTTTGGCCAATTTTTTGCAATTTTCCCCCCCTATTTGTCCCTTTGATTTGCTCAACTTCCACCTCTACTTGCATTCTCTCACTACATTCACCCTCATTCTTTTTGTCACTTGCTCCCAATTTTCATTTCACCTTTCTCCATCCTCACAGTTTTCTTTGAATTAGATCACATCTTTCTTCTCTTATATTCTCCATTTTTCTTCCCTATTCCTTTTCCTGTCCCCTTCGTAACACTGATGGCTAACTCTGACCTCATTAAAGATGGAAAACAGAGAGAACATATTGCTCTCCTCCTCTGCCCTCTTATTTTGCACATTCACCCGCATCTTCACACTCTCATTCCCCATTCAGTGATGGGTCTTGCCCAAGCAGGAGAACTGCAGTCTTCAGATGGGCTCTAGAGGAAACCTCTGCGCGTTGAATTCCAATAACTTTTCATTTTCCTTTTGCTCCTCTGAACTGCCCCGGGTTTGCCCTGTGCTCTTTCACACAACTGCACACACTGACGTGCTCATGCTTGGGCTTGTAGTTTTAAATTTGGTGTGCTTGTTCACAATTTCTTGTTTTCAATCTTGCTGTGTTGTCCACTGTTTCTTTCACAGCACTCCATAAATAAATTGGATTCTGACTATGCATAACACATGTGGTCCTTTAAATATGAAATGAATGATGCAGGCCGAAATTTTGATTCCCACTGGGTCCTGTAATTCTATGTAAATGCTACACACAAGGTCCTACACCGCGTTTTGGATTCACGTGTCCAGGAAATGGCAGGTACTACCCTATAAATGGAGTGTTTCAGCTGAGCAGCCATTGTGTACCAAATACTGCACCAAACTGTTACGTGCTAACTCAATGTACGTCACTCTAGGCAATGGTGAAGTAAAGTAAAATTGTCACTAAGGCGAACTTACATGCAATCTCGAAGCGTAAGTACCACATTTTAAAATGTATATCAAGTTTTGAAGGGCACCTGAGGTATTCACACACCCCCTAGCACCCAACAGCATGCTTCCAGGGTGGGGGTTTGTTGCTAACAATAACTAACCCAGGATGCTGGGCCAGGCTTCCAATCCCTGGTCCAACAACCCCCCCACACACACACACACACGCACACACACACACACACACACACACACACACACACACTCCCCACCTCCCTCACTGCCTGTGGATCTGACAGCCAGGAAGGCCTAGCTTGCATGCTGCCAGCCAGCCAGCAATAGCTCAGCTTCATCCAGCCCTGGAAACATGGCAGATGGCGGCAGGAGAGAACAGAAGAGAAGACATCGTGCGTGTTTGTCTATGCAAGTGAGGCAGACAGGGACAGGTAGAATGAGAGAAGAAAGCGGGAGTGTGTGACCACATGCTTCCTCAATGACCTCTAAGCTAGAGCTAAACAAATGCTATAACTTTGCTGAAACTAAACTAGCACCTATAGGAGCCGATCAATAAAAGGCCCAAGAAGTTCAGCTATCACTGATTTCATCTGCACATCTTGTACTATTTTAGTATTGGTTATTTTACACCTGTTATGTGTGAGTGTGTCTGTGTGAGTCTCCAGACACATCTGTCGAACACTGTGCACTGTCTGTGTGTGGGTGATCAATCTTTTTCATTCAGGGATCCTATGGGTTTTTATCATGACAAATAGAGGTTCAGCTCTTACATGAATGGACAGTTGATTAGTTCCATCAAACTGATGGATCCTTGATAAACAGCCTTCACACTGTCCATCTGTTTGTAAGTGAACATGAGTATTTTAGGCTGTGGCGTGTGCCTCCACACTTCCACGTATATTCGGGGTCTCATGTAACACTACTGATTAAGCTTCTATAGCTCTCAGTAAATTAAAGCTTTTAGAGAACACAGTAAGATAGTCTTTGCATATTTCTAATACAACATCTAATAAAATTATTATTAATATATGAGTAAAATCTTCTGTATTACATTACAACAAACATGACTTTAAAAGATTGTTTCATATATGAGGCAGCAAACAAATATGTGTAACAAAGCCAGAACAACCCAGCTGAACAGCTTTTTACAGCTTACCAGACACATAATAGAGCACTACCTACAGAAGTTCCAAGCAAAAATACTTCAAGTACAACCCTCACTCACTGTCAAGTGCAGTACAAAAACTCCAAGGCAAGATGTCATCATAAAAAAACCTGAGGAGCTCACAGATGTCCACTTTAATGATTGATTTGGTAGTTATCCCTTTGCAGACTGTTTCACAATGCAGGACTCACCTCGGATGATGGACAGCTTGGCATTGACAGTGATCTCGCCCTCGGTGTTCTCGGCAACGCATTCATAGATGTTCTCATCACGTGGCGCTCGGAGAGGCTGGATTCTGAGTACGGCGCCGGCACCCTCGTCAAACTCAATCGTCTGAATGGTATAGAGTAAATTACAGGGTTAGGTTAGAGAGCTGTGGGAGTCGCATAGCAATAGTACAAGTTTTGAATTAAAGAATTAACATAAAGCACAAGGATGAGTTTGGTGTCAGTGTTGTCATTGCTCCATATGTAACTCAAGTAACTAAGAAGTCAGTTTCTCAACATTTATCCTAAACATGTGTCAAAACCAAAGACATATGGAAGTGAGTTACATATCCATGGTTGGGTATTTGTCATGTTTTTATTCTTTTATAGCCTTTGGTCCTCAAACACAGAATTATAAAAAGGTTACACAATCTCTCTATCTCTCCACACATACACACACACACAGTTCCAGAAACCATATCTTTGTGTGTGATGTGCTTGCCTTTACATGTTTTGATTTTGTTGTTTTTATCTGTAATTATGCCCTTTGTTCTCTGCAAAGCCCTTTGTTTTGAACCTTGTTGAAAGCGCGTCTTAAAAACAAAATCATACTACACTCAGAACGCAACATGTGCCGAGAATACTGAGTAGAAAAATGCTGTAGTTATAATAACAAAGACTCATTTACTAAACTGATTACATTTTAGAACAGCTTTATACACATTAAACACTCTTTATATTTGAATTATCATAAAGATATTGAAGGCTACTCACAGTAACTACACAATTTATTTTTTTTTATCAATGCCACAATATAGCTGAACGTGTTTTTTTGTCAATTATGTTCGTGTACATTGAGTTTTCTAGTGTGCCTATAATTCAAGTATAACAGAAACACGACATAGGGCAGTGTTAGTATGATAAGAACACCGCTATCTAAATAGTATTTAGACAAATTATCTCACTTAACTGCCAATTTCACAAATCTGACCTTACTTTCATCTAACTGAACAAGCATCATGACATTTTAAATGTTAAGAACAGCACAGTATGTCTGAAATAGCCTGGACTTGTCAATACCTTTAGTTTTACCTTTAATTTAGCCACTCAAAATCCATTTTTATAGTGTCCTCATTACACACAATAGAATTACTCTATTAGCGACCTGTATAAATGTGTCTTTCTTTTCAAATGTGATGCCAGTGGGTGTAGTTGACAGTAGGGCAGTTTCGACATAACAGTTACAAAAACTTGCCACTGTCCAACATCTGAAAAGCCACAGGTTTGATCTCCCTGAAAACCACATCAATAGCCTTGTGTCCTGAAGCTAGAAGCAAAACCTTAAGACTGACGTTAATGACTAGAATTTAAATGATGGCATTTTGAACCAATTACCCCTTGCTTTAAATATAGTCAGTCATTTTCCAAGCTAATCTGTTTTGCTCTAATTTTGGATGGATGAAGTTTAAGAGAAGATGGTCAGCATGCCTGTCAAGTCTCAAACCAACTCTTCCAATATCAATCGTCCCTCAGAGGAGCTTACACCATCTCAACGAAGGGTTTACTGCTGAGATCTCTGAGCAAAGCATGACTTTGAGATATAAGTACAAGTCTTCAGCAGCCCTGCTGCTCCACTGCTGCACATCTCAGGGCTGAGACACTAATTAGGCTAAAAACACTGCAGAGCACGCAATCATGATCGATATCAAAGCAGCTGTCTAGAGGGTAGAACAGAAAGAAAAAAAAATAACTACTTCAAAAAACCCTTTACAATTTTTTTTTATTTCATGCTAAACGGAGGAAGAGGAGCGTCCGTTCTGGCGGGCTCCTTCACGCCCTTGGCTTTGTTTCCCACTTAGCATGCAGAAGAAGAGAGCGTACAAACACAACTTGTCTTTTTATTTCGTCCTCCGTTGAGATGCTGCTTCTCCCTGTGTTGATGTTGTTGTCATTTTTTGCTTTTTTAGCCCCCTCCCCTGTGGTTGTGTTCATGCTGTAGAGTGTGTATGTCTATCTCTGTGCACTGCCGCCGTTGTTAACGAAAGCAACTTTTTAATTAAGAGACACCGAGCATCAATCAAGACTTTTAGAGATGCCATCTGGGACGCCTGCCGAGAACTGAACAACAAACATCATGAATAACGCACAGACAGACAGATTCACACAGACAGGGCTCTACGCAAAAAAAAAGGAGAATGTGACAACGGCAGAGTCAGTGGGAGTAATAGGAGGGCTCTTCATTGCATTACTGTGTGACTGTAGCTAATGGCAAACTTGCACATTGCTCAGAGGTAGGCAGTCCATGAAAATATTGATAGCTGTTGTCTGGATCTATTTGTGAAAACTGTAGGTAAAGAAAGCAAACAAAAAACCGTGTCTGCAATTGAAGACGATGCTAGTAATGTGAAAGTGGTGCAGGGTCACGTAGAAAAGAGTGTGTGGGAAAATAAAGGATTAAGAGAGTGGAATGTAGGGACTAACATCATTTGAGCTTCACAATTTAACTGACTTTGCTTGGTAAACTGTATGATATGATGTACTGTACTGTATAATATTGTAGTCAAAACATTATCAGTGAACAACATTTCACAACACTGAAATTAGCAAATTTTCAAATGCTTACTAACATGCTCTCCAGGCACCATTTCCATTTTGAAATTTTACAAAATAAAGTTTGTAAAGTTGATATAACCAAATAGATTGTTTAGACAACTCAACACTTTCAAGAACTGTCTAAGAACTTTTACTGTGAGAGGGGCGGCTGTGGATCAGCGGATTGCCCATTAATCGGAAGGTCGGCGGTTCAATCCCCAGCTGTTCCACCAGTGTATGAATGTGCGTGAATGTTAGTTTCTGTCTGAGCACTTAGGCTCAGTGAATGAATGTGTGTGAATGGTGGATGTAGTGTAAAAGTGCTTTGAGTGGTCGAAAAGACTAGAAAGGCGCTATACAAATATGGAGCATTTACATTTGCATGACATTACAGTGACGTGGTACAGTAACAATAAAGTGCCTCCTCACCTGAGTGTAGCAGTGAGCAGCAGGGCACATTGACTCACCTCTATACGCTGGGAGTTGACCTTCTTGCCTTTCTTGTTCCAGCTAACCCTTGGCTTGGGATCGCCCGTCGCCTGGCACACAAAGGAGACCACGCCCCCCGAGACACCAATCTGGTCGACGGGAACTTTAGTGAACCGTGGTGGTGCTAGGGAGTAAGGACGACAAGGGAGAACAGACAAGGAGAGCAAGAGAAAAACATTAGCACAAGGCAAAGATGGATGTTGTGCCAGCTAACTCAGTTCCTTACAAGGCAGCATTAAATAAATGTGAGTGACCATTGAACCTGCTGCTTTTTTGTGACAGGGATGGCCTCTTTAACCACTGGGCTATGTCTTCATTCTGAATCACCCCCTGCAGTAGCGTACACACTAAGATTGAATCAATGAACTGTGCCTTTCCTCAGTACCTAATTTCAGCGCTGTGGAGTTCTCTGAGTAGATCATGGCGCTATGAATTTGATGTTTTGCCAAGGTAGTGATGATTAGTAGCTCAAAAATATTACTCCATAGGGAAATGGTGTCTGGATAATACCAGCAGAGTAGAAAATCCTCAGAAAAGAATGAGGCAGTAAAGGAGTTTCTTGTTTTGGTTTGACATAGCATTAAAGTATTTAAAAGTGACTAATTTTCCTGTTTAATAGAGTATAGTATTGACAAAGCCACAATCAGTGGTTCAATTCTTACTTGGACCACACATACTAAAATTGTATAGCTCATAGGACGAGATCCTTTGGTTAAACTGTCCGTCAAAAGTTATTAATTTTGGTGCTGGGATTTCTCGCTCATGCATTGGTTGCAGCAGATTCAAGACAACAAGCCTGATATATAGAAAGAGAAAGAGACAGAGACAGAGACAGAGATAGAGAGAGAGAGAGAGAGAGAGAGATAAAACAGAGTCCTGGGGAACTCGTTAATTCTGAATCATACAGATATGTGGGGAAGATCAAACGGCCAGCGCATAACGTCAAATTAATAATTAAAGGACCACGGGCCAACACAAGTCTCCAGGCACCGCTAAACACATATGAAGGAGAGTTCCTGCATTCATTATCGGGCAAAGAAAGACAGAGTGGGTATTTTGGAGAGAATGAGGCAAGGAGAAATAGTGTAGGACATAGGAAACGAAAAGGAGACGAGTGAGTGTGCTGCTTCAGGGAAGCAGAGGCATCGCATGCAAAGTTCACCTCATCGCCCCCAACTAACAACTCAAACATTTCTGATGCAAATATTACACCAATATACACAAACTGGCTGCACTAGTGGATGGTGGCTAGTTAATCTCAAAAGCAGCTTTCACAATTTCTCCATCCAGCTGGATTTTTTTCCAGGTAGAAAAGGTTCAATAAAGGATGAGTGGTTACACACATCGTAACAAAAAACAAAATGTGTTCCTGGCTTGCTTACCAGTGTGTGTCAGTGTGAGACGCACTTAACCTTGATTTTACAAGCTTAGATGTTGGCGAAAGCAAGATTGTTGCTGAAAGCAAGCACGTGTGCTCATTATGCCGTCTATTGCCAATGGAGATAAAAAATGCTTTCAACTAAAAACTACTGCTGCTGTAATATCATGTTTCCTCTTTTTCAGACTTAGTAGTAGTCAGTTGCCAGTAGCGCTTACCTACAGATGATGAGACCCACTCTTTACTCTTGTGTTGCCCTTTTCTTCCTTGGATAATTTGGGGCATATATATCTCAAGGAGTAGAGCATGACACAAACTACATTACCAGGATTAAAGGTGTAATTCCCACTGTGCACACAGTATTATAAGACTTTTGAATTACAGTACCAACTTCATGGCATTTGTGATTAAAATTATTATATGGTAAAACATCATTCTGACAGGCTGTGAGTGCTAGACATTAGCAGACAACATGCTGAGCTAAATAAATCAGCCAAAGGGCGGGGATGAAACTCTTCCATTTCTATAATAATTATTAAAGGGCTGTGTTGCTGGCAATCATTTTAATGTAGGAAATATTGATTCCTCCCTTTCTGATGGCCAGATGAAAGTGCATTGATTGTTGTATTATTCAAAAGGCTTCTTAGCCCTCTTTAAATCTTACTCTACATCTGTTAAATAAATAAAAAAATAAAATAAAGCACTACCTTCTGGATATTTCACAGGAGTATATTTTATGAAGGTTGTGGGATGATGTGAGCACTGCACCTTTTCTCTCGATTCAAGAAATAGGCCTCCTTTATTTGTCTGGTGCATACAATGATCCCTTTTGGCATTTTACACTCTCAATTTCCATTCTGAAACTACACAACACAGCTTTACACAACGCAGCTCCTCTGCATTTGACCTCCCCTTACAATGTGCCCTCTGTCAAGACAGAAGAGGGATTTACACAGAGCAGGCCTATGGCAGTGTTTCTGCTGAAGGCCAGCTCTCTTTGATTAGTTTTCCCCTGTACCATTTGACATTTCCACCCAGTCGCCTTCTCAATCTCCTTCTCTCTTACTTCATCGGATGAGAGAGACGTACAATAAATGCTCCTGCCTGCATGTCAGTCTGAATTTAGCTCCTGACAGATTCAGGATTTTCTCAGAATGTATACAGTTTTCAACATTACCTCAGGAAGGTTTAAAAAAAGCTACGGGGAGCTTGCTTGAAAAATCACTGAAATAAAAAAGAATGGCACCGTAGGGGTTGACAGGAAGAGGACTGCGGGAGGTATGTGGTAAAAAAAAAAAAAAAAAGGTGGAAGAGGAGCAGAGGTGACAGGAGGTCCAGGAACCAGAAGATATATGTGAAGATGAACTGCAGGACAGGAAAGTGATGAAAATTTTTATCAAATAACAACGTTATAACTTTTCTCCTTGCTTACATCTCCCTAGAGTAGAGGATACTCACCCATACCTACTTCATTCATTCTGCCTGAATGCATTTTGAACATTACAGCTGTAAACTGATACCCTGCAATGTCTGTTGTGTGTCCTGTACTGTCCGCTCGGACTACGTATATATGACATCCTGTGATCTCAGTACCATATGTTCAGCAGATATTTATGACACTGTACACTGTGCACTGATCACATACAGGGCAAGAAATACAAGTTCGATTTTTAAGACCCAAATCTATGCTGACACTCTTGTCTGAAGCAATATTCAAAAACAATGCAAGTCTTTCCTTATTTTCACAATGAGATATTCTTTTGAAAATGGAGAAAACCTCAATGGTTGGAGCTGTGAGGCAGCACTTACAGCTGGTTGTGTGTGAGAGATAAGATCCTTTTCATATACGTAGGAGACGCGCCTATGAGAAGGGCCTGCATATTCCGCGCACATTTGACACACTGATATGCAACTTCTGTCAAGCGTTATCACTTTTCACAGAAACGTTAGTCTCAAAGCAAAGTTCCATATAGACTTTACTTCAAGCCATATAATTACACATAATTTTATTACCTAAGCACCAAATAAAGTTTAAATAGGTTTCACTTTCAGCTCTGCTGTCTCACTTTCTCACGCTTGCCCACTTACTGTATGTGCTCTCTTTGTTTTGGCTCTATTCTTAGACTATTCAAGCAGAAGATTTAATTTTGCTTGAACGTCATCAGCATTATTTAACTTCCAACCATCAAAAACCAACCAAGGGGTAGAGAATGTGGCTGTAGGCCCATGAATCTCTACTATAGTGCATTTACTACAGGTATGCATTATGTGATTATGTGAACTCTGATGAGCATAATTAACCTTTTTTTTTTTTCAATTTCCCTCGACTGTGTGCCTCTGGGCTTCTGCTGCCAGTTACTGTTGACTTTGAGCCTTTCTCTTTTGTAAATTTGAACCTTGTCACGTAGCCAGTAATTGCAGGGTAGAAAAGGTTGAGTGGTGTCAGGGCTTAAACTGCTTTAAAAAAAAAAAGAAAAAACTGAGTGCTGGAATAGAACACACCATATTTTCAACAGATAAGTTTATTCAAGCATATATGTTTATTCATTTCATGCATTGAATGTGTTTGGTGTCTACAGCAAACACAAAAAGTTGACACACATTGACTGTTGTCTGGAATCAAATGTGTGCCTTTACTGTTAAAGGACTGTCTCTTTGATGTTGCAATGTGCATCATCTTTAAACATCACTATACCTTAAATGATGAGGCAGTCCCAGGGAAAACTACCTAAAACTAACTTGACCATTGAAAAGATGAAGGTATTCCTTTTATTCCAGTGCTTTGCTATACAGAACTAGTATCCTAAAAATTAAAGCTATATTTCCCATAAAACCTGTCGCTTCTTTTTTCTTCTAGTTGATTTCCTGTGAAATAAATATCAAATGATATAAAAATAGCATTGAAGCGGGCAACCTTCTTGTCCTCTGCTTTCTGTGTGCTTATGTTTGTGTTATCCAGAGCGCGGAGCTTTTCAGGTTTGATTCCCACCAGTGCCACCTTTTCTAAAAACATATATACACCTTTTGCTGTAAGGTACCTTGTATAAAAGTCTCCACCAAAAGGTGTGCGTTTATGTTACCAGAGACGACATTGAAAGGACACTGCACCCGCAGTGGCCATATCTCCCTTCCACCAAAGTATCTCTCTATTCCCCAAGCTTCCCTCTGACAGACCGCGGTACAGCACTGCCCAGATAAGCACACAAGACCTGTCTTTATCTGCCTGGCAGGGGGACATGGCCTGAGCTAAAATAACCAGCAATGGGGGCCTGGCTATCTTCACAAGGCCCAGAGAATAGAACAGATGCATGCTAACATGACCGGCTAGCAGAAGTAAAAAATAAATAAATAAAAAAACTCACACTGCGCACACAGACGCTTGTTTAGCTAATACAGCAACCACCTGCCACTGGCCGTTACCTCTGTTGGACCTGATAAGACAGAATACACCAGCACTGTGATTATAAAGTGGTGGAGAGTGGGAGGTGGGCATGTGAATATGAGACAGCTCCATTTACAGTACATAACTGCTGTCGTTTGGTGGGGGAGGGGGGTGTAAGGGGAGGGAGGGGACTGGTTTTATGACTAATACAGTAATTGATGGAGAAAAGCTTCCTGGGTCATAAATAGGAGCCATTATCCGCTGAATTAGTAAAGTGGGAGACAAAATGACGCCCAGCCATTCAGTGATTTGCAGAGAAAAGCAGAGAATTGGGAAAAGGGCACTTGTTATCCATCTTGCTACA